TGACGTATTCCTAGGCACTTCCTCTGGATGTTTTTTGCCCAGGCAGACTGCACTTGTTGATCTTACAAACTTATGCAAGGTGCTTCCACTGATGTTTTTGACAGGATGGACTGCACTTGGCATAATCTGATGTATCCCTAGGCGCTTTTGCTGGATGTTTTTTGGCCGGGCAGACCGAATTTGGCCTAGCCATGAATACTTATGTCTGATTATCAGGCACCTTCCTAAATTCTAACTATCATTGTGTCACGTGCTCACACTTGTTACATATGTGGACGTTTTTGATACTGTCTGTTGTCCATGGGTGGAACCTGTATTGCATGACATGGTGCTTGACTATTACATTTTGACCTATAAGTCTTACTGTGTTTATTACTGGCAAAGAGCATACCTGTTCCAGAAGTAATACTATACCCCACTAATGTGCCTCCTTTTCTAATTATGGCACACCTGTTCTTTCACGGAGGTTGTTCTCCACTTGTTTGACTACTGTTGCACCTTCACCAGCCCCTCCTCCTTTGCAATGTGGGATTCTAGCTATGGGTGAGCAGAGTTAGCACCATTTCAGAAGTTAACATTTTTTAACACTGAAAATGTATTTCTGATAGGTACTTACCTCCTTATACCAACTTTCTGCCCTTCCTCTCTACTGATATGCTGGTGTTTCTAATTTGTATCTGCCAGTTCTTGAAAAAGTGAGGATTGTGCTGGAATGAAGATGAAGGATTTTTTAAAACCAAATCACTCCCAAAAAATCATTACAGTATACAGAGAGAGAAAGCTACTGTAATAATTCTGTGCCCCATAGTTTATTAGCATAAACTATGCTTAAAGTGAGCAAACATACAACAGCCATAATTCTAGCAACATGAAATGATTTAATACATTAACACAAATATACTGTATATACAATAGAACATAAACAATTATCAGACCTTTCAAGCTTTAGGAATGAGCAAGAACATACATTTTAAAACATTTAACAACATCAAATATAATTACATTTATCCATAAATTCAACCCTCAAATTACTGACTTATTTTATATCACTTACAACTAGTAGAATCAACATCATGTCAAATAATTTTATTCTTTTTGTCTATTGCTACACTAATTGTATATAAATAAGCCAAAAATAATAATAAATTGGATGAAATTACTCATTTTTCTATGTAAAATATATGAGAATCTCAGTAGTTATTAATGGGATTAATCTTTTTTTTTACTCACATGGAATAGTAGAACCTTTAACCAACAAAGTTTTTGGGTTCAGAAGCAATTTGATATATAAATAATTTTGAAAAATGTACTGAAAAGACTGTTCCTTGACATCAATAATTTTAGAGTTCACAAAGTCTGGTGACTATATAAGACAGTTTTAGCCATTATTTAGTAATCTTAAGTCAGCATATAAAAACCACTAAGCTATGATAATCTTAAAACTAATTTTCATCTTAAATACAGGCAACAAGTCTTCCAAGTACATGTCAAATGCCGAGTTTAAAGGTATCACAAAACATATACAGTTCTAATTTGGGTATTTAACCATAAACAATCATTGTAGTAGGTTACAGTTCCTTTTTACACACATATTGTTTTGCAGAAAATAAATTAAACCTGTGCTTTAGAGAGCAGCTTATGTTGTTTTTCCTTGAAAAACATTTCTAATGTGTCAACCTCTGCTTACCATGAAACTTTCAGGAGTTATTGAACGTACCCCAGAATGATTCTAAAACCTCTTACTTTATTCATTTTCACATTCTTATGAGTTTGATAGTTATTTCGGTTTTCTTCCTTTGCATCTTAGTATCATTTCAGTTTTAAGTTATAAAATATAGATGTTGATTAATAAATTCTGATCAAAGTGAGCTACATACATAGATCTGAACCAAGAATTACCCCAGTAAATAATTTAGGTAATTTCATAAACTAGTCTTATTTAGTTGGGTTCCTTTGCTGTTGTAGAAAGTTTTAGCC